GGTTGGTAATGCATTGTCGTTGTTACTTTCCTCTTTGTTTGCATCCAATTGATCCTTTTGTGAAATCTTCTCATTTGGAACAGTGGAGTTTTCAAGATCATTTGATTTAGATGCAACCTTATTAGATTTCCTCTTTTGGTCTTTTAATGAACTCTTTAAAAACAATACAACTTCACCTTTTTGCATTGAGCCTTTGTTGAATTCTGTTAAAATGATATATAGAAATAAGAAAAATACAATGAATCCAACAATGATACCGAAATTTCTCCATTTATGAGAATTATAGTACTCATACGAAACAGCCAAATAGTCATCTCCATGTAAAACACTTAAGCCTGCCTTACTACCTGTTGTAGCACAAATTCTATGAATACTATTGGTATCGGGATAGCCTGGACCAGACGGAACAAATTCTGAACATTCGAAATCACGACCGCTGTACTCGTTTGCCATTAATGATTCAAAAACATATGCTATTGGATTCAAATAGTTTATCCATCTAGACCATCCCAACATACTTGGAGTAGGAAGAACAAATCCGGCAAAAATCACCATAGCTAGCAATAGTACAGTTGCTGGTGTCATTGCCCCTGCAAATGTTGTAGAAACTGCACCCAAGGACCTGAATAAATGTGACATGACCAAAGTACACATAATACACATCAACCAAAAGAAGAAAAACCTACCAGCATCACGTCTAAGGTTAGGCAAAAAGTAAATGAATAAATTAAAGGCAACAGACAGCAAAAATTTGGTTGGTAACTCAGTAATAATACCTGCTAATGCATCGGCAGATGGACGATATAATGCATACTGTTTATGCTTTTCAACAATTGGTCTTGCTTCAAACAAGGAAATGATTTCTAAAATAGAAGAAAAAGCATTAAATAAAACAGCACCAAATAAAACAGCACATCTGTAATACAAGGTACCCGTGGTAGCACTTAAGTTGTAGAACATAGAACCTAAAGTTATACCTATAAATGCTTGACCAGTGATAGACTGCATTGCAACAGATGGGTTACGCTTAAGTCTCAATATGTTTCTACCCATGATGTATCTAGTTTGCATGAAGAATGACACTATGAATGAAGATTTTGAAGAAATATGGTTTGACTGTCTTGCAACATGTGCTTGATGATATTCTTCACCATGGCTACCATTATCAGTCTTCTGGAAATATTCTTCAATATCGGCAACTAATTTCTTGTATTGTGGAGAATTCTTCCAGTATGTTTCAAATTCTTTGGCTGTGTAAGGAAGACCATTCTCAAATCCTGGTCTTGCTACTCTTTCGGCAGGATTGGTTAATGAAGTCAAGAAATCTGCAGTTGTTTGTCTTTGTGGGCACTCCCATCCCATATT